ACAAAACTTATTATACAATTTCTGTTAGGGGAATTAAATCAAGCAGAAAATGTTTTTGATAAAAGAAACATTTATTTTCACACACTGAATCCTGTGCAAATCTTACTTGAATGGTTTCCAATTAACACCTTATTTGCCTGAATAGGCTATACTTACATTTTGGACTGCTATCTTCAGCTTTACAGCCCATATTTATCCACACCATAATGGTTCACTGAAGTTTGTATTTCCAGATTCTGGAATTTCCCGCCAAACATTGGGTTTTTGTTGCTAAAAATGCTCAGACTCAGACAAGCCTTGGCAAATTACATTGTTTACATAGGCTATATACAGTGAAGGAATTCTCCTCTAAAACCAATGATTTTAGAGCTTTAAAAAGCAGCCTAAAGGCACTCAGGACACATTGCTTTGGGGTGAATGGGAAGACTGTGTTGGAATGGGAATATGTTACTTTAGGGAACTGGGGCAGGTAATGGAAATGGAAAGATGCATCTGGTATTTTGAGGAACCTGTTTGTTTGTGTATATTCAATGTATTTGCAATTAAAGCAAATGTCCTGTTTATTACAAATATAGTGGTCAAACAATCATGACAGGTTGTAAACAAGTTAATCTATTGAAATCACTGTATTTGGCGGTAAAAGGAAAAGTGAGCACACCAGAAAAGTCGCCCCTCTATGCACAACCACAGTAGGACAGTGGAACTGGATGTTTGCAACGGACATTTCAGTAATAAATGTACTGTTTATCTCTGTCTTCTCTTTCTTCTTTCTCTTCTAAAGAATGTACTTAGCACAATCTCTTAAATAAGCCTCATAATGACATCAGAAAAATGTCACCTTTCTGGCGTTTTCAGATGGCTATTTGGGATTCAAACAAGAGGCACGCTGTACTGAAAAGCATCTTCTGGGACCCACTGTTACATCCTGAAGAGTTCAGGCCATTTATGTGTTGTGTGTGTGTGTGTGCTCACATCTCTAAGTGCTTAGTCACAAGTCTCCTCTTGAAAACCCTTGCACCGTATGACTATCCTTGTGTCACACCAGCACCAGAGACAGAGCAGGGAGGAGGGAGTAAAGTGAGAGAGAGAGACAGAGAGAGATACAGAGAGAGTGGGTTCTCGAGGGAGCTCCCTTCATTTTCTGGATGCAAGAGGCAGACATTAAGCTACAGTGACTACCACCACTGACCTCTGTCTGACCCTCTCCAACTTCCCCTCAGCTCAGGCCCAAGCTGACGCGTCATTGTATCGGTGCTGTGCGATGTGGCATACCTAACGGTGACTCACATCAGCAGAACAGTAAAGCACAATACAGTACATGACAAAAAATACAAGAACAGCAGCGCCTGAGGGGTAAAAACGAATGCTGGCTCTGCGCAGATGCATGGGGTCCTGTGTAGTTGCCTCAGTCCTCCGCCTAGTGTCAGTCCACCACCTAATTCCATCACTTTGCCCCAGAGGCTGCAGGGAGTCTTTCTGCCCTGAACAATACAGATCTCTGAAATGTCAATGAAACCAAGTCAGCTGCAAAGGACTACATGTTTGTAAAGCAATTCTATAACCTATTGTGTATGCAAGTTCAGAGCTGAGCTGAATGACAGTTACCATGCTACCAAAATATAACAGCCCAACATGATACTTCTGTAATGCTCAAATACGTAAATAGTAAGAAAAAAGTAAGAAAAGATCTATTTATAACAATTATAACATATAAAAAGGTGAGTTTTATGCATTTATGTGAGAGTTTAGTCCAGCAGACTAGGTGAGGGGGATTATGGGAAAAAGCCCTGTGGTAGTCCATCTGTTTTGGCATGTCTCAGTACCCTGGACACAGCACTGCAATGGCACGCATACACATGCTTGTATACACACAATTAAAGCAACACACCCACACAGACAGACAAAATACTAAACCCCACCCTCACAGTGGGGGTGTCTGCAGACACCAGAAAGCAAAACAAGAGTTTGTTTGGGGCAAAAAGGTAGCAACAGACCATAAACAGGAAATACAATTAGCAGAACAGAGGGACATTGATCAAAACCACAGATAAAAGAGGGAGATAAAATGAAACTATAAGGGGCAAAGAAAAGACAGATTGAAGGATGGAGCTCTGTCCGCCCCAGCAAAAAATGAATGGCAATCCTTCGTTTTCTATTGCCGCAGCGATTAATTGACGAATGTGCCACATTAATAATAAAGCTTGCTCTCTCCACTTAGGACATTGATTCACACCTCCTCAGCTTATGGTGTAAGAAACCGATCAATCTCGCTCTTTCTTCATCTCTCTTTCTCTCCTTTTTGAGCTCCTCTATTACCTTGCTAAATATAACTTCCTTCCCTCTGTCTTTAGCCAGGAAATGAGTCCAGCATTCAATAACTGGCTGTGAATTAAGCAGGCTTGGCGAAGGAGATCTCCAGAAATGATTGATTGATTATTAATTAATTCGCTAATGTCCCTGATTGATCTACAAGGGGAGTGATTGTCTGAGAAAGAGAATATGAGGGGATGAAAGAGAAGAGGAAAGGATCGGATTTGGTTTCAACAGGACAATAGAAGGGAAAAGAAGTGTAAAGGCAGTAGGATCTATAATGTGCTTCCTATGTGTCCGTGTGGCTGTGATTTTACAGTGACATGATGTAACAACTGGAAGGTAAACCTGTGTTTACATAATGTTGTGGTCTAGAATAGCTAAGACAAAGATAAAAAGGAAAAATACAAGAGAAACGAAGAGAGAGAGAGAGATCCACATCAAATGCTACTGGGAGCAGCACATGCCTGCTTGTCTGTCTGTCTGTCAGTCTGTCTGTCTGCTTAGCCTTGAAAATCCCAGCACTCAAAGCCAGACGACCACAGAACTCATGCCCACTCCACACATGCACGCACACAGACACACACACACACACACTGTGGCCTGTTCTAGCCTACGCTATTGATCTGCACCCCACTCTTCATTAGAAAGAAGGATTCAAAGGCAACAAGGAGCAGTGAGACGTGTTGTGTGTGTGTCGGTGTGCATGAATGTGTGTTCAGAAGTGTAAATGTATGATCAAGGGAGTTGTGTAAGCCGCGTGTGGTTACATCCTGTGTGTTTGTGTGTGTGTGTGTGTGTGTGTGTGACTTTCTGTATAGGGTTTTTTTCAGTTGGTGCATGTGTGTGTATGTATGTGGATGTACTGCCAGGTATCAGTAACAGTGGGAGCAGATCTGTGCTACTCTAATGCAGTCTGTCCTCACTGGGTGTTCCTATGGAAACTCTCTCTCTCTGTATATTATTAGACATTCTTGAGTCAACTGCTCAGAATAGGAAGACACAGATCACATCTTTTGCGATACACTCGTTATAAAGCGCTTCGACTCAGCTCCTGTACAACATGGGAGACTTGATTCTTTGAGAATATTTTTTTGCTTTGGTGATTAGTTGAGATGCAGACTCTTGCACCGGCCAGGGTCACGATTGATTGACTTGTAGGCATCAGATCAATCACGGTGATTGGACAGCCACTTCTACTGACACAAGCCTGAGGCATGCATTGCAGTAATATTTTTCCCAGCAAGTCAATTTCTTAAATCCCTGATAGCACAGCTTACAATACTGAAAATCTTTTTTCTTTCTTTCTTTACACCTTTTCAAAAACTTCACATACACACAAAATAAAATAAAATAAAATCAGGAAGACGTAATTCTTCAGCAAAAATAAACATTTTTCCTTGGTTGTATATATTGTTCTTACTCTTCATCTTCCTCAACAGTGTATCATACAAATTAATCATTTCTATTTTTATGACTCGTTAATCTATTTTTATTTCGTTTTCAGAAGTAGCAGAAAGGGAACTACATATTTTTTCATTCTACAACCTTGCGTTGTAAATGACAATAAAATAACCTTGAATCTCTGAATATTTTAGTGTACTGAATAATAAGCAGCATAGCAATTTAAATAAAACCCTTAATATTATTTATCATTTATCTTACTGCAGATACTGAATACACTTCATGCTTCAGGTTTCCTCATGTGAACTTATATATGGAATTTTCTATGGTCGGTGTATTAATTAAAGTTTGACATAAGTTGCAGACTAATAAGTGAGTCACACTACATGCAAGTGTTATCTATTGAATGAAGATGAATTAATTTGACTCAAGGATAATTCCTTGAAGCAAGTTCAACAATTGTAAATTAACTGTAAAGAAATAAGATTTGGGAGTAATACGAGATACAAAGAGATGAATAGATGAATTTTTATGATGAAAATATAATTTTGCTTGTGCGATAATGTTCAGACCTTGGGTATTAAAGCCTATTTGAATACACATTTGCCTTCCCTCCTTTTAATCCTAGAGCCTACATGCTATGCCAAAGTCTAAGTATTATGCTTCCTCTAAAATAATAGCCCTTCTTGTTGTTTCAGTTCATTTATTTCATCTGTAGAGTGGAAAATGGAGGCAGACACAAAGAGAAACCAAAGCCTTGAGTGCCAGCTGTTAATTGTTAAGGCAGCATATAATTCTATAAAAGAGAGAAGGCTGCTACCTTACCAGTCAAACATGCATGTCTCCATATGTCACTCCTTTACCACTGGAAAATTAGTGCAGTGACAGGAGGATGCATTTAAGTGTGAGTATGTGTAATCTTTTTGACAGCAGGGTATGCTCACGCTGTGAGTCACTGTCTTTGCATACAATAGTTTGATATGATTATATAACCAGGTGTGGATGAGGGAAGAATGGTTTAAGATGCTTGTTTATTTTGGTGTAGTGTTTCAGGATTTCAGGAGGAGTACATTAATGACAACAAAAAGTTTAGATGAATACTTGCTTGCTTGGCTTGAAATTAAGTGTGTAAATGAAGAAGGACTTCAAGGGCATTAAATCACTACCACGTGTAGCTATTGGAGAAGATAGAGTTAAACAGAGCAGAGTGCTGAAGTGTGCATGAGAAACATCCAGTGAAGGGTGCATAAAAGTGGAGGGGGGCACAGTGGGAGCCACAGACTGACCTCTGGAGTGGTAGTCTGCCGCTGTGCTGCTGATGGGCGCTTTCTTTACGGCTGAGGAGCGATAGACGATGTGCGTCCTTCCTCCTCCACCTCCCTCAGCCTCCTCCTCTTCTATGACTCCATCGCCCCTCTCCACAGGCTCGATAAAAAACTCCTCTTGCTCCATCCTGATCATACCAGCCTGAAAGAGAGTGTGGAAAATTAATTGGATGACATAAATGTGCGTAGGTGAACTCTGACATCATGTTAATGCGTGTCAGTCCCTCATCTCATTCTCGTCTCCATCCTCTTCTTCACATCCTAGCTTTCCCTGACAGTTTAAAGAGTTCCTTTTCTTTACTCCACTGCTTTGTTATGGGCATGCTGGGAGAAAAGACAAGAGAAGGGGACAGCAGTGATCCTCCTGGGGCCTTCGCAAAGGTCCGGAGTGACACCTGACATCTAAAATGGCCAACACAACAGCAGGAGATGAGACTGTCTCACTCCCATCCTGGACTAACACATTCTGTCAGGTAATTCCCCATGTCTGCGTTTACACACACACACACACACACACACACACACACACACACACACACACACACTCACTCTCACACACACACACACAA